AAGAAACTTCTGGTTTTGTTTAACAGCCTGTAAAATGAGCCCAGAGCGCAGGTTCAGCAGCTGTCGAGAAAATTTTTTTTCTTTTGAGTAAATAGACTATTACAAACCGCCTGCCCTCTTAGTGGCAACCAACTTCATGAGAGGGATGTCAACAGGGTTACCCACGCTGCGACACAGAAACTTCTTGAACTGTCCACACCTAAAGGAGTCTTGGAGAGGTACACATCACCATGTGAGAGATTTTAGAGAACCAGCACCGCATCGCTTCACAGTGATGTGATTCAACAGTGGCAGCGAGGCTTGATTTTCCACCGATAAAAGACAGACTGTGCTGATGTGAAATGACACGCTGGTTTAAATGGAGCAACAAACCACCAACATCATCACTGAGCCTTTTAAACGACAAACTGCCAAATATCAAAAAACTAGCATTTGTCTGCAAATGGACCGGGACAGAAAGAAACGTTTGTGCCAAAAAAACAAAACGAAAGAAAAATCAATGTAAAATTGCCGTTTTGCTTCTCTCACAGGTCGATCCGTGTTGTTACAAACCATGTTCAAACCTTTGTCTGAATTGCTGTCTCAGCTCTTGTCGCCACCTCTGATGGAGGTCTGAATTGTTTTGACAGCCTACTCAAAATTTTCAAGTGAAGCTAATTACTTCGCGTCTAGTTTTGGTTGAAAATATTTTGTGCAGCTGAAAATAAACACTTCAAATGTGCATAATTAACACACTTACAACAATTGTTAAACTGTGTGTGTATATATATATGAATTGTACATTTGAATGTTGCTGCTATGTGTTCTGCATCTGCATTCACCACCCTTAGTAACTAAAACAGGAAGTACAATTACACAATTAACAGAAAAAAAAAACAATAGACCTGAATATATAAACCTTTGTGTTCCAACAGGGACATCCTGAAGGAAACTCTGGATGCTGATGAAGAGTATCACAGAGACAAGTGGACCATGTTTGGGAATGAGGCTGAGAAGGTAGAGTTGGATGTGATCAGGAACCAGCATCTGTTACGCACACGCGTTGACAGAAGGGCCCTTCGCAATCAGGTACAAGTCAAGTTAAGTGACCTATAAAAAGGACTGCCTTGTATTCAGCTTTGTTAACACACTTGTTAATCATGTTCTCAGCCACGCAACATCAAGGTTTGAGAGTTAGCAGGTTTTACAGCAGCGGTGAGATGATTTATTGGGATGAAAACTTACAGAATCTTACGTTTCAGTGATATATAGCTGAATGATCACCACTGATTTAAAATATATATCATGGACTTCATCACAAACTAACCTCAAGTGTTTACCTCTACACTGCATTTAAACTATCTAGTATTAACAATTAAAATTTTTAACAAGTTATTCGTAAAAATGTGATGAAGACTTGTCTACAATTTCTTAGAGATTGGCTGCAGAGTGGATGTTAAGACAGCCCCATGAAAAAATATCTATGTTTTTTAGTGGTTGGTGCAATATATGTATTTTTCACTTCTTCTTTACTGCAATGTTTCTCCTGTACATAACCACAATCATATTATCCAAACTATTTGCAGTTTATAAATGCTGGTGTTGTTTTGTAAGTCTCCTCCAGAACCTAAATTCAAAGAATGAAGAGAGTTAATTAAGTTGAGAGGGGATAAGGCACCACAAGTATGCTACAGCCAACAGTTTATTTTTTGTTTCCTTAGTTTGTTTCTCTTATTCTGTTTTAATGAGTTGAGAAACAGTTCTACACTCGCTGTAGAAAACAAATAAAGTGTACTTTAAGAGATACAGAATGTATTTATCAGCACATAATACATGTCATCTTATCTGCAAAATCAATTTATTAAATTGTTTAAACACTTTGCCTTTCCTGAATCTATTTGTGCTCCAGGCAGAAAAGAAGGCATCTGCCCACATGAAGTACCTAGAGCGTCTGAGCCAGAGGGCTCCAGACTTTCCTATCCCTCTGAGGGCTCATACTGTCTGGGAGGGCATGACGGTCAAACTCTCCTGCACCATCCAGGGTTGTCCACCCCCAAAGGTCACATGGTAAGAAGAACTTCTGTCTGTGCTGCACTCAATTCTCTTGGCCTCCGTTGGCCCGTAATTTTTCAGACGTTTCTATTAAATTCTATTGCTTGGGTCATAGCGCAAACTGGTGTCATTGTAATTTAGTTTCTCGGTTGGTTGGAGTGGGTTAGAGAAGAAAAAGAAACATGACTCAAAGTCATGACTTTCAAGGAACGACAAGGTCTATAATGATGTGCACTCCTAAAATTATGTTACTTAAACACTGTATCAGAGCTGACACTATCAGCTGATTCGTTGATCAGTAAATCAAATTTCTAATTGACAACGAATTCAATAAATAACCATTTAAGCCATTTATCAGGTCTTGATTATATCTTTTGCTGCTTTTTTCACTGCTACTTATATCACTGCAAAATATTATTTGTTTTTTTGGACCGTCGAATACAACAAACAATTGGAAGATACAACTTTTGGCTGTGGACCGTACTCTGACCTTTAATAAACCATTAGTTGCAGCCCTACACTGTATGCTTTATTCATGACTCATCTACAATGTATGTCATGCGATCATTACAAGTATAGAGTGTGAGAGATAAGGAGGTAGGTTAGGTTATAAACCCGCGTATGCAAATGATTGAATATAAAGACAGATTAAAAGCCCATGAGTCGCTTGCAAAAAAACAAGAGTCATGATCCTACAGTTCTGAACCCTGAGTTGAATATCACCCTCTGTATTAATATGAAATTACCTGTGTTAATTCAGGCAACACGCCAAACTGTCGACCTTGATACTTGAGCTGCTTAGAGACTAGCTGATGAATAGACCATGTGTGCTCAGTATTCATGAACCTAAGCTGAGATCCAGATAACCGGAGGCTCATGGGTTTCAGCATCCCATATGGGACTCATTGAGCCAATTGGGCTGCAAAAGGCTGCCCTCAACAGTGCCCACTGCCCAGCACAAGACAGAATGAGAGATCAAAGCCCCCCTCTGGCTGTTATAGATTCAGCAAAAACTAACATTTGATTAGTGAAAGACGTGCATTACTTTGAACAGACTCAGATATATTTCTAACTTCCTGCCTCAGGTACAAGGATGGTCTGCCACTGAGGATGTCTGCCCAACCATGGAATTACTGTCTTGAACAAAAATTTGGTCTTAACTCACTGGAGATTAGAAGGTAGGTCACTCACTCAAATCCCTAATTAAAGCTCAAAATCTCTGAACATGTAAACTGTATGAACATGACACAGGGTGTGTAAGATGGGGCATGTGTGAATAGCACGACCTTGCAACGGATTGACTGGGAATAAAATTAAACATTTACAAAACATGTGGGTGAGGTTAGATAATGGAGAAGTTATGAGATAAAATGTGTTAAACTGAGAAATAAATGCTGGTGTTATTTTGTAAGTATGCTCCATTACCTAAATTCAAACACTGAAGAGTCTAAATTCAAACACTGAAGAGTCAATTATGTTGAAAGGTCTGCTAGTGCAATAAAAGAACAGATATGTAACACTAGAGACACATTTTTATTTAAGCGCCATCTTCAACCACTTCCAATTTTTACAGATACATGCACCTCTCTATCCTTAGGTGCTCTCCTGATGATGCTGGAGAATATAAAGTGGTAGCCACAAGTCCTCTGGGTGAAGCTATGACCTTTGGAACACTTGTGGTGAACTGTGAGTGGCGTCCTGTTTCATATCAGCTCCACCTTGCAGGAAAACCATTAGGACTAATACAAAGATGGGTTACACTGACTGAAATACCAGAGTTCAGTCTCAGGCTCCAAACTGGTAATGGGACAGTGAGATCAGTAAAAGAAATCATCTGAGAAGCCACATGATTAAAGGCCATATAACCTGTCCAAAGAGCATATTGGTGCAGAATTTCAATCATTTGAAACATTTCATCTCCTTAAAAACATGTAGGGGTGAGCATCAACAACTGCATTTAACATGTACCATTTCAACTCCCCACACAGCTCAAAAACTTTATATATTGATGACACTGCCCCCCAGTGGATTTGTTGTTTAGGCTTGATAAAGGTTCAAGCATAAAGAGACAACAAAGCTTACTCACTTTGTACACATTTATTTATTCTGTCATCTTTTATGGTTACAAGAACCTGAATCGCATAACTTGCATTTAAGTGGAAAGTGTTACTTCTCAATATCAACACTTAGATATTTGTAGAGTAATACAATAAGGAAATTCCAATTTAGTGATGTATACTGATATTTAAAGCATAAAGCAAAATGTCCTGAATGCAACAAAATATATTTTGAAAAGGCTCTATTGTCATTTCATTTCGTATTGAATTTTGTTTTGCACATTATTAAACCTTCATTTAACCAGGAAGGACACTTAAGAACAAGTAGTTAGTTCCAATGATGGCCTGGCAAGAGGCGAGTAGGTATAAGGCAAGACAGACATTCAGAGTCAAGGCAATAATGTTGCTTGTGAAGGATGCACACGCATGTGTCTTTGGAAATGCCCATGATATTGTTCTTAAAAGCTGTCAGAGAAATAAATAGGTCTAGTTGTATTGTTGTTTGTACATCATTGCAGTCTTAACATTGCATTACATAAAAGATTAAAGAGAGAAGTCCGTGAAATCTCAGTGAAAGGATAAAAAGCATTTAAAAAATGAAGCACCAACAAGGTTTACAGACAAACTTAAAGACTGTTGACATGAACTTGAAAGAACAACCAAACAGCAAGGCGATCAAAAGCACTGACCAAACCAGAGACCAAATTACTGAAAACACACAGGCCCAGTAGCAACACAACACAGAGAGCAAAACACACGCCCTATGTGTGCACCCTACTCACTACCATCCACAATTCAACATCACTGACTGCAACAGTGTTGACAAAAATCCATAAGCAGAGATATGTAGTTGCGTGCAGAGTTACAAGCAACCGCCACAGTTTAAATAAAGAAAGCAGCGAGCTTACTCACCATTAGTTGCAGTCAGCTAGTGTTGGAGTTGAATTAACAATTGTTAATTAACAATATCAATTAATAATTGATATTCGTCAGACATCTCTCGCAGGTAAGGAAGGGCTCTCTCAAAAGTCAGCAGCGAACCATCTGTGAAGCGTGGCTCCTGGATGTCCAGTGAAAATGTTTGTCAAAACCCTACAGACAGTATGCAGCAGATCTTCTTGACATTATATTCCAATCAGCAGTTGTCTTTAAACCCTCACATGTGAGCGCTTTGTACTTTTGTATAAACATGTGGGAGACGCTGTAAATAAAACGAAGGCCTAAACTGGTGGCACCGTCGGGCTGTGGAAACGTGTAACGTTAAACGGTTCTTCGTTAGCCGCTGAGGTGTTAGCTTCGGTGGGCAGCAACTCCACTGATTTTCCTCACTTGTGGCGCTCCCCTCGGGTTGAATTGTTTCCGAAAGTGCTTCAACATCTTGCCTCCCTACTGCTAGCATAAACTCCGAGTCACACACACATGTTAGCTATCCAACTATCTATAATTATCCCTCAAGTGAAATCGCGCTGGTATCAATTTAACCGAAGCCCCGCCCCCTATCTTGGAATGATTTTGCATTTTCTGCATTTCAATTAGGCTCCCATTGAATTACCAAAAATCACAAGCCCTAATCTCAGAATTATAACAATAAATCGACCAGACTATTTACTAAAACTATTTAAATTGTTAACTGGTTGGTTGAACATGAACCACCTTGAAAAGTGTTGAGTTATGTTATGTAATGTTACTTACAGATTCTAGTGTATGGAGTGCTTAGGTCACAAATAGGGGGTTCATCTGTTTCACACTGTCAGCTTTTTACAGTTTAGGTTTTATCTTTCTAAAAAGTGTAAACACCTAGCTGAAATCATAGAATGTCCTGCTCTTTACATATCTTAGTCACAGTAGTCAAATTTATGGGATCCCAGTGTTGAATTTTATGGTTAACTTTTAAATGTCAATATCAGTTGATATATTACATCAGATTTTATAGCAACATTGGTGTTGGCTTCAGAAATCCAATATTGGTCACACTATAAAATGAGCATTTACATCTTTTTCCTTTATTTTGCATGGGCATAGACATTCATTCACGCCCCAGGGTGCTGACACTGGCATGGCTAAATTGGACCAAATATCCATATCCATCCTCCATCCCTATTCTTGCAATGATTTTTAGTTTGGATGTTATTTGTACAGGGTAGTTTTGTATCCCCATTATCCGTTTCTATATAAATTTGAGATTTGCATGAGAATCAACACCAGACTGAAATGATCAGAAAAACAGATCTCATTGCAGCACTCATGCATAATGAATTATAATGAGAAGAGTGGGTGTAGTGGTGACTAATAGTCAAACATCTACAGTGAGCTTCATGGCCTCACAGCACTGTCATGGAAACATTCACAATAATAATGTTTTTTTTCTTTGCCCCTTTGAAATGTCCTACCCTTTAGTGAAAGGGCTCAGTGCTTGACGGTAAAGCTCCTTTACGTTGAAGATCAATTAGATGGTTCGGGGCTTTAATGAGACACTTCAAGGCTTCTCCTTGCCATCTATATTTTACAGGCTTTCTTCGGTTGTTAAAAATAGGTTAAAGGGAATATTAGATGTGACTTGCATAAATGTGGCACTGACAGGTTTGATTTGTCTGCTGTTTCTCTCTATCTCATACTGCTTAATTTTCACAATCTCTTTCTCTGTTCCTGTCTCCATCTCTGAACCTCCATGCCTTTCTCCAATCTGTCCTGCTCCACCGCTCTGCCACTCTGCGATTCAGCATATCAAGGTGCCGTGGCTGGTTCAGAGAGCTTGCAGACCCCCGGTAAGTTTCTCGCCAGGGCCTAATGAAAAGTGTCCCCTTTCATTTTCTCTGTCACCCTTTGAAGTTCTTCCCTCCACCGGTGAACGAGGGAGGGCTGCGTAGCTTTGAAGACTGTGACACAACACTCTGCTCTGCTTTGCTGTGCATGCTGCACCTCATAAAGATATGGATGGATTGAAAGAGAGGAGCGTGTTGTCTGTGTTTGTTTGTCATGGGAGTTTATGTTTCTGTGTGGGTGTCCGTGTCCATGTATGTATGGGTGGTGTAAGTAAGACTGTGAGCAGGAAGCTTGCTGTAGGGATAGAAAGACTTGCTTCCAATGGAGCAGAAACGGCAGTCATGTATATTTCATTTCAGGGACAGTAGGGGATTTATTTCGTTTTGCTCCAAGCTGTGGAGCATCTTTGGCCTAGATTAGCCTCCACCATGTGTGGGGATCATGACATTTACAGCCTGTGCTTGCATATAGGCTCAGCATCTGATCAGCCTAGCTATTCATAGTTTCCCTTAAATGGGGAGACTGTCGTTACCAGGAAAACAACAGGATTGGCCTAAAATAACCTGTTTAAGTTGGCCTGGGTCAGCAATGTAACTTTGACAAGGGACACCACTATAAGCCATTTCCTTCTAACAGTCGACATTCATTTCTTTTGATCATGACCACAATAGTAGTAGTTCTTCTTTTAACTGTGACCACAATCGTTCCCTATTCTTAAGCAAAGTGTTAAGTGCCTACATTTAACCTAACTGTAACTATAGCAGTGGCAGATCAGAAAACAGGCATATGACTAATTTTTGTAAATGTCATATCCATTTGGAAGGCGTTAAATGATGTTGTCCTACGAGGCAAACACTAATATGGGTTGTTTGGAAAGAAATTACATAATCTATTGTTTACTATGTAGGACTTGCTGAGAATGAGATTTCTTGTGATTACGTTCTCACCCTCACCATGTCACACATCACACCTGTGAGATTTATGCAAGTCCTGCTTCTTTGACTACTTAGCTTGCCCTATTGGACGTCTTTGCCTTGCAGTGTCACATTAATGTCACCATATGTCAGCAGTGACATTGATGAGTAAATCACCCTAAAAGGAAGTACTGTATTTTTGGGCAAAGCTATTAAATTAAACAGACCCAAGAGAAAAATGCAATTTTCCTTTAGATTTGGCCTTAAAGCAGCAGTTGGCAACAAAAAACATAACCTTCCGAGTCTCACTCTGCTACAGTCAGTTCTGTGGGCAGTCTTGTTTGTACTATAAGCTGTTGTTGGCAAAGGAGGGATGGGCAGTTCTTTCATTGCTGGTGGTTGTTTCTCAGACATGGTGTTTGCAAAACTTCTGAAGCCGCACGCTGTAGATATTGAGCTTGACTGAGTGAGAGCGTGAGGGGGGAAAAGTGTGCTTGACTCACTCAGGTATGGTGGATAACATTAGGAGCACTTGGAAGAGTCAGAGGAACCTGATTTCTTTCATAGATTATCTGTCTCATGTACTTCTGTCAGGATATAGTGCTCCAGAGGCGTGTGACCTCTCACATGTATAGCAATTGTAAGCTTTGGATAAAAGCGTCAGCTAAATGAATAAATGTGTGTGTGTGTATATATATATATATATATATATATATACACCTACAGAAGCACTGGTGTAATAATGCGTCTCTGAGATCATCACTCCTTATGCAGAAATGCTTTATGACTTTAACTATCTTGCAAATACACCAGTGCTTCCGTAGGTATACAATACAAAGCATTCCCCACACACTCAGAAATTAAATGGCAATCATTCTGAATAAAGCTTTATCAGCATGTAATGCTTGGGGCCTGCGAGGATGTGCTAAAGAATTACATCCTGACATTTTTCAACTGATACTTGATTATCTCATATGAAGCAGATCATATTTTCTACCATGAATCACTCGTAATAAAAAAACAGCACTGCAACACTGGTGAGTTTATCTTAATCATCATTGCTCTCAGGAAACCAGGGATTTTACGTTTGAATGATAGGAAACAAAGATCCAAGCAGTGTGTTTTGAAAAAGCTACGTACATTCCTGTGAATGCCTGGACTGCTAAGCAGAACAAGATCATTATAAGAAACATGTCACAGCCTCTCAGATTCATCCCTGAGAATGGGATCTGACAAGACTGTATTGCTTCAGTGCTTTGACAAGCGAGAGAATGGTGAAGGAATAACTTGTCAGGAATTGTTCACTTAAAAAAGAAAAAGTCACATCTTCAGCTTTCCTGCTGTCTGCGCCCTTCCTCCAGGGTGCGTATGTCCTGACTGTCCTTTGTCTCTGTGTGCTCTTGAATGAGGCAGAGGGTCCTTGTCTTTAAGGCTGTGCAAGTCTGCATAGGATGGTCTTTTTAGTTATTTAAGACCCTCTGGGTTGCTTTGTTCAGTTTTACTCCCTGCCATTAATGAGAGAAACGAGGAAGGAAGTTTGTTACTGCTAGCTTGCAAGGAATAACGAAAACCTGAAGACATAGCGCAAATGTACTCGATGGAATAGAAACATAAGATCTTTTATGACGAGGTTTGGTGACAGATGTGGGGATATGAAGGAATGAGCTCTCATTTCTTATAGTCAGGAATCAACATACTTTTACCTACCCGCCACTGCTTCCTGATTCCTCTCCTCTTTACCTGCCATGCCTCTTTCCTTTGTAGCAGTCTAAAGGAGTAGCAATTTTATAGTGCACACATTCACCCAAAATTATTTCATCTGGATTTTTATTAAAAAAAATTTTTGCTGCAGTAACGCTGCGTCTGGAGTGGACCTTCTTTTTCAGCACCAGTGAGGAAAGTGAATGAGTGTATATTGATGAAAAGTACTCTTCTTATAATTTTTCTTTTTTAATCCTTCTTTTTACTTTTCTTCAGTCTTATTGATTAATTTGCCAGTTTTCCTCCTCTTGTCTTTACTTCTACACCATCTCCCTTCATTCCCCTTTATCTATTCCTGTCCTAATACTTTACTCTTACTATGTCCCCTCCCAACTTTGTCCTCATCCTCGTCTTTTCTCAACCCTCTCTACCCTAGCCCTGAAGCTTGAGCAAGAAGCCAAGTTTGATAACACCTTCCCCCCTACGTGGGTGAAAGAGGGTAACAGCCTCACCCTGCAATGCACTTTCGCCTCAGCTCTGCTGCCTTTCCAGCAGGAAGTCAGCTGGTTCAGAGATGGTTAAGTATTTATAGATGATTTATATGAGCCAAATGTTTGACAATTTAGATTTGTGCAATAAGTTTGTCATTTAATTTTTTCATTCTCTAGGCATCCAGCTGTGTCAGTCGAGCACTGTGGACATTAAGACAGTTGACAACAATGCCTCCATCACTTAAGGGCTGCACACAAGGAGCATGAAGGAGTTTACACTGCCCGACTAAGGACATGGGATGAAATCCAGGAACACAGTGCTTTTGTTTATGTCAAAGGTGAGGACCAGCATGAAAATGGTTTTGATGTAAATATGGCACCTATCGTTGGTCCATTACCTATCATGTTGCACCTACCAGCACCTCTAAAGTTCAATTATTAACATCATTGTAAACTACACTATATCTATTTTGTTTAATCCATACAAAAAACTGTTTTTTTCTGGACCGTGAGCTTGGCAGATAATCTTATCTCCCAAA